GCTGGCTTTCATGCCTAAGGTAGGACTAGAACTCAAGTCTCCTGCTTTCTAGCCTGGTGCCTTAATCACTAGCTCAGGACTGAATTGTTGGGTTCTTGATGTTCTCTCAGCTCACTTCTCTTCCTGCAGAGATTTCATTACCGGGCTAGGTAATATCAGTGCATAGAGGAGTGGAATTTGCTGGCTGTTTATATGGGGCAGGTTGTCCTACCAGCCTTTAATAAATCTATTAAAAGATCTATTTGGATATCATGACCTTGTGAGCTCAGCCACATCCACACGTATGAGAATCTAGATCTTGCAGAGAACAGTCAGCCAATTAGTAGGTGAACACACGGAACTATCAGCCAAATCGATGCTTGTTTGCTGTCCTCCCCAACTGCCCAGAACCTTTTGGGTTTCCACTGGGTGCATCCCTTCTTTTTCCAGCAATCACTAGAATCACCACCACCACCACATGTACATACCCCAGACAGTTCTAAACATGTATTTTGAACATTTGGTCTATTTCTTCACAAAAAGAAAATTGCTACCACCACACATACATACCCCAGATAGTTCTAATGATGTACTGTATTTTGAACATTTGGTAATTGTTTTATCTATCTATCTATCTATCTATCTATCTATCTATCTATCTATCTATCGTCTATCTATCTCTGTTTGAGGGGATGCTATGTAAGAAAAAGTTAATAGTAACAAATAGAAATGGATATATTGAAAAGTTTGCAAAGCTTCCCAGTTGCCATGGCAAGGATCTCCTTGCCTTTTAAACCCCTGTGACCTGAATGCTGACATACTAGCAGTTCTGCATTTGAGAATCTTCCCACCATGCCAGCATCCTGCTACAACTGGGAAGTGGCCTTTATGTTATGTGTGAATGTAATTAAACCAATTCCTACTATAGTGACTTGCCCAGGATCATTTATATGATGGGAATAAGCATATCTTCTTCTTGTGCATAGTAATCCCAGATGTCTATTGTTAAAATCCTGTATTCGGTTATCCCTTCTACGTTGCATTATCTGACAAACAGTGCAAGAAGTCATTCTCCCCATCACTTCTTTCTCACCTCTTCATCAAAATGTTCAATTCCCTGGGTGATTTCATTTAAACTGGGAACATCAACCAAATCCATTGCCACCACTGAGCATTGTTTTTGATCCTGAGTTCGGAAGCCAATCAGATGCTAGGAGCAAAAAAGAAGCAAAACCCACAGGATGCATTAAGGGATTCTGAGACTCTAAATGCTAGAAAAACATACAGAACAGGAGTTAGACAATGGAACTGACTACCCCAAGAGCTGGTGGACTCTCTTTCCCTGAATATTTTCAAGCAAAGGCTAGACAGCCATCTGCCAGTGATATTTTAATTTGGATTCCTGCACTGATGAGGACGTTGGACTCAATTTGTAGAAGTGGTCCCTCAACTCTGAAATTCTATTCAGAGTGTATTGCACCCCCTTGTGCTCCAAGTATATATTCAAAGCTGGTTCTGAATACCCAGCAAACTCAACATCTTAATGTACATCAGTGAAGTTACACAGATAGCTGGCTGAAAATTCTAGGATATGAACCCAATACATCAAAAGGACATCAGGCGAGAACAGATGACTTACGATGTCCAGAGTAAATTTCCCATTAGGCAGTACTGCAGTAAGGAAATTAGCCTCTGGTCTTAAGAAGGTCTTCCTTTTCAGATAGTAACATATGTTAGTTGATTTCCTTCAAATTGTAGTAAGCTTACTCTGCTATATCTAGAGACCCTTCTAGTTTATTCAGTAGAAGGACACCTTGAAGATCTGTCCCCAAATGCTTCCCTGATGGTGCCATTGCTCTTGAGACAAAAAGTGGGTGTCCCCCCCCCCATTGCTGAGTTGAAGTCCTTTCCACACATCTTTAAGCTGGCAGAAAACTATGCTGGCATGACATTTGCTGCCCATCTTGCCACTTTCTATTTTGCATTTATTGTTGTTCCCACTGACTGCCAGTTAACCTATTTCTCTCTAAACCTAACTAAATTTATGCATCTTTACAAAGCCTAAGAGAATGTATGTATCCTATAGCTGCCCTTGAACAATATCAGAATAAGGGGGAAACACTCTTTTAACACCAGGATGAAGCCAACATGGAGGCATGGCAGAAAAATGATATTGCCAGGGCAAGTTTGTGCCATGGTTAGAGGCAAGCTGGGAAAAGCCATTAAATTCCTCAATGGAAAAATAAAACTTCATGGGGGATATGGCAGTTGGTTTGGAATATTTCTTACATGTTTATAGTCATAGACAACAGTTGCTGCAGTCTTATTGGTCTTGATCAAAAATGCAGCCACACTTTCCTGGTTGTTCACCATCACAGTCCGCTCCACCGCCTCACCATCCTTTCCATTGCTGATGGTTCTGATTATCTGCACAGGAGATAAGACACAACTAGGAAGCCTATCTTGTGTATTCTTGGTTGTTTGCATAATTCATCTCGAAGGGCTCATTTGAACAGTCACTGTAAATTGGTTCTTTAAAAGCAAGCCAGAATTAAGAAGTAGGAGAACTATGATAAGAAGATATCATGGTAAAGTATAGGAGGAATCTCACACTGTCATGCATTGTAGCTCTGGATAGAGGGGAAAGGCTAATGACTAAAATATGTCTTCCAACTGTCCAAGATGCTTGTGAAAAAGTCTTCAGATTTTTACCATGTTCTAATATTGTGCCATTTCTCAAAAGTTTCTTTCCCCACAAAAGCTGCTTCAATTTTTGATACTTTATTCCAGCATTTCTCAACCATAGTAACTTTAAGATGTATGGACGTCAGCTCCCAGAATTCCCCAGCTAGCATGCTGGCTGGGGAATTCTGGGAGTTGAAGTCCACGCATCTTAAAATTGCCAAGGTTGAGAAACATTGCCTTATTCTCAGGATGCTTGAAACTTTTGATTCAAATATCTCCTGGTGGTATTTCAGTTCTTCCTTTATTGTTGTAGGTGACAGAACACCTACAACTTTTTTGTGTTACTACTTTTTTTTCCCTATTGAAATTTTCCTCTTGTGCAGCAGTCACCCTGAAAAACCCTGCCTCTCCATCTGGAACAGCCCTCTAGTATATGTAGACATGTTTACGTATACTTGGGTCACCTCGTGATCAAAGTCAGTGCAAGAGCTCTGCACCCCACGGATGAGAATTTTACCAACATCATCTTTATCTTGGAGGGGAGTGGAACAAAAAGCAGTTTGGGTGCTTCCATCAAATTGAGTGAGAGTTATTCAAAAACAGAAAAATGCCATGGCACTAGGTGAGACTCCTACTGGAGTGCATATAGGTCGGTGGGTACACTGGGAGTTTTTACCAGTGTCCTCTACTAACTATCTATTCCAGTTTTACCCTACTTAGCGTCATCCAGATGTGACGAGAATGCTACTCTCAGATTCCCTTGTCAGAATTTGGAGGGCAGCAGATTAATGCTTTATGGGTACTCCTTTACAAGAACTACAGTACTACAGTATAACTAAAGGGCTGAGTGTTTACGGGTCCCACTCACCTTTTCAGTGTGTTCCTGAGTAATATAAATTCCAATGAGAATTGCTGCAATAACCACTGCCGTCAGAAGCACCAGCACTGAGGAGATGAGGATCACTTGCTTCCTGTCTTTTGGAATCCTGGGGATAAACCTGTATGCCTGGGGAAAGAGTCAGCAACTTAGCTGGTAAACGGAAGGTCAGAAGAGTGTTATTCTGCCCACTCCCAAATTTCACCCATGTTCTTCCTCTTAGGTGGCCATTTACACAGGAAGCAAAAGAGGGCACCGACTTATGCTCACCCAACTTTTTAAATAAAAATTGAAGCCCATAATAACCTGAGCAAGGTGGGAAAATCTTTTCTTAATGCATAGTATTACCTGTTAACAGAAAATAAGGAATAATCCCTTAAAATAATGACCAGGTAGGAAGCCCAAGGGATGAACAAATTATCTTCCTTTTCAATAGAATAGAATATACGTAGCTCAGGGTTAAACTGTGGAGTCCTTGGTACTATCTTCCTTTTCATGTGCCCATCAGAAAGACAAGGACCTAAGAGTTATGAATATATTCATTGGAAGGTTCATTTGCTTTGACTGCTTATTCTCCACCCAACTGTTTTGGATAGATGGATGAGACTAAGGAATATAATTTTTCAGTAATGATAGTCAGCAGCTCTTTCTTACCTCTCTCCTTCCCACCACCCCACCAAAAATTTATGAATAAATTAATGCAAAGTAAGCAACTCAGTTAGAACAGAGAAGCCCATTCGCTTAATTAGCAACTGTATGACTTAAAAAAAAAAACAGCAGGTAATAGTGGTGGGACAACTGCTCAAGACTGCAAAGAGTGATTTTAGCAATAGCACTTTAATTTGCACTATTGTATTATTTATAACTTGCATCTGCCAAATACAGTTTTCAATTTGATCATCAAAACAAAAAATGAAACAACTTACTGGGAGTTCTGGTGCCGCGTTAGCCTCACAGTTTGTTTTGGAATTCATTCTGGTTGCCTGTGGAAGGAATATTTCTAAAGGTACCTTTAATTTACTTGTTTACTTTTATAGACAGACCTAAAGAGTTATGTGGGGTCAAAGGGTCTTGACAAAGTAACTGTGGGAAACATGATCACCACTCATTCTACCTGACCTGACATTTTACCTTCTTCAGCTAGAGGCAGAATGTCCATTTCACCTTCAAACAATTTGAAAGCAAAGCAAGAAAACCAGAACGCTCACATTTTTAAATGTCATTTAGTAGGCAATGAGGCAACAACTATGAAAAAATCCTCTAATTTGAGGGGGTGGTTTCTCTATGCCCCTGTTCTGTCATTAAAGGGCAACAAAGATAAAAGAAGGTGTTGGGACATACATTCAACCACACCTTTGAAACTACGTTGTCTACTTTGCGCACAGAAGCTCCAAACCATAACAGGTCTCTGCACATTTACTCAATTTCAAAAAAAAGAAACAAGAGATCAAACACAAACTATGTTGTTAAGATAAAGTTCATTCAGAATAGTGGCTATAACATGAATGAGGACCCTGTGGTTCTCCAGATGTTACTGATTAACATTCCTTCACCTTTAGCTCTGTAAGACCTAAGAGCTATAGACTCCCCATGCCCATGTTACCAATATCTGACAAAGAATTTATAGATCCAGTATCACATATTTATTAAGTCATGAAGCCACAGGATGATCACGGCTGAATTTACGTAACACACTATTTGTGTGAATAGTCCAGAAATGAACTATTCACACGATGGGGAATTGTGTGTTGTGACTCCATTCTGAGTGGTTAATTCACAGTTTGGAATATTGTGTGAATCCATAAAATGAGTTTAATTGAGTAAACCATGGTACAGGTTCAGGGACGGTACAGGTACATGGGACGGCTCAGGGAGTTGGGGGTGGGCGGCACAGTCTTGTGCTGGTTCACCTCCTTTCTTCAGGGCCATTCCCAATCGGTGTGGATAGGGGGCGAGGGGTCCCATCCTCGGCCCCTCCTTTGTGGGGTGCCACAGGGTTCGGTTCTCTCTCGGCTCCTTTTCAACATCTACATGAAA